TTAAGCTTCTTATATTTTTTATTGAGTATTATTAATCAGCAGAGAGTAATTAACAAAAATTAACCAAAAAAGTTTTTCTCAAAGGAAGTAAACAATTGTACTAATACATTTTAAATAAGTGCACTAATACTTTTGCACGCGTAATTTCACACATTTTTCAGAGTAGTCATTAAACTTCTAATTAATTCATCAAAAAAACAGGTAGTTTGACAAATATTTGACATTCTAATTAAATTTAATTGGTTTTACCTTTCATTTAAAAAAAAACTAGTTCGTAATTAAAATTACTTTACAATTTAAATTGATTTGAAGTTGTCTGTAATTAAAAAATTACGAGTGCGTTAATACTTTCTGGAAGCACTGTATATATATATATATATATATATATATATATATATATATATATATATATATATATATATATATATATATAGAGAGAGAGAGAGAGAGAGAGAGAGAGAGAGAGAGAGAGAGAGAGAGAGAGAGAGAGAGAGAGAGAGAGAGGGAGAGAGAGTAATATTTCAATTAAAAGCAGCATAGTTTAATTGTTTGTTTTTTGTGACTAGGAAACCATAACTGCAGAAGTCAACATTTTAAAAGACTTGAAGGCTAAGTACAAAGAATTAACTGGTGTTGAGTATACAAATGATGCTAGTGTTGTTGCTAAACCAACTACTGTAGCAAAACCAACTGTGACGAAACCAGCAGTTAAAACTGAGTCCACAAAGCAGGACTCTTCTAATACTCATCAAAGTTTATATAATAGTATTTCTGCACAAGGAGATCGAATACGTAATTTAAAATCTGAAAAAGCTTCAAAGGTATATTTAAAATATAATTTTAATTTTATTTTTCAAATTTTATTAAACTTTTTTAAACATTTTTCTCAGCATTTGAATTTTTTGTCTAATGTTCAGGAGGTCATTGGAGCAGAAGTTAATATTCTAAAAGAATTAAAAAATAAATATAAAACCTTAACTGGAATTGATTATCCGGCTTTGTCTCAACCTGCTGATTTACAAATGGCGCCTACATCATCACCTACAATAGTTCATGCTTCAAGTTCTGATGATATGACCAAAAAAATTTATGACCAAGGTGAAAAAATTCGTCTTCTTAAGTCAGCAAAGACTTCAAAGGTTTTTTTTTTTTTTTAATTGTTATAATTTAGTATAAGTATAATAAATATTACTAATTAACTTTTAGTTTTATGTATGTAAGCAAGCAGCTGTGGCGCAGTGGTAGCGCATTTGCCTCAGAAACAAAGAATCAGTGGTTCAAACCCCTCCTCTTGGCAAGTTTAGCAACATCAGTCTATAACATATTTTTTTTATCTATGTATGTCATGTCACTATGAATTTTTTATTTGAAAAAAAATATATATAAACAAGTATAACATTTTTTATCAAAAAAAAATTACTAAAACATTTTCATATTGTGGTGTTATATCATTTTTTGGTATCATATCAGTTTGGTATAGTAAGGTGAATAATATTTAACAAAAGATTGCATACTTCTACTCCACCCTCTCCTACTCCTTTTTCTTAGACCACCCCTACTCCCTTTCCTTAGAAAAGTTATTTTTGCTAAATCTCTTTCTTTTTTTTTTGATAAACAACTTTATGGAAAAATGAAGTCCAAAAGTAAGTAAGAAATTGAAATAAGAATTTCAAATTAAAATACTTGCTTAGGTAAAAAAAAAAAATTTTTTTAAGTTAATTCACCTCCCTAAGGCTGAGGAGGCTACTTAGACTGTGGTTACAACCCTCTCTCAACTCTATAATTCCAAAACACCAACCTTGACGAACAACAGTACCTGCTGCATGGAGAAACAAGTTGAGTACTGTACTAGCAGGGACATGGTGGGAAAAATTAAAATCAGAACTTCTTGCTTATGAAGCAAATACTCTACCACTATCACATAATTGTTTAATTTACTGCATAATTATACCGTTTTTTTTTTTTTTTTTTTTTTTTTTTTTTTGTTAATTTTTAATTACTTTTTTATTCTCCCTCAATTATATAAGTTACTTTAATAATTAAGGATGTTTTGCAACCTGAAATTGATATTCTTCTCAAGTTAAAAGCAGAGTACAAAGTGCTAACTGGTTCAGATTATAAGCCTCAAGGTGAAGTGAAACATACGGAAGATAAAAAGAAGGTTGAAAAACCTAAAGAAAAAGTTGAAGTAAAACAAGAGGATGGAAAAAAACAATCTAGATTAGGTTTAGAAGCAACCAAAGAAGAAAGTTTAAGTGACTGGTATTCACAGGTAATCTATTATATTATTATACTAGGTATATATTTTCATTTTTTAATTGAATCAAATTTCTGGGTTCAAAAATTTAACTTAATCTCCAAGGTTATCACAAAGTCCGAGTTAATAGAGTACTATGATGTCAGTGGGTGTTATATTTTGAGACCTTGGGCATATGGAATTTGGGAGACTATTAAAGAGTTTTTTGATCAAAAGATTAAAGCTTCTGGTGTGGAGAATTGTTATTTTCCTATGTTTGTATCTCAAGCTGCTTTAGAGAAGGAGAAAGATCATATTCAAGATTTTGCTCCAGAGGTTGCTTTTAATTTTATTAAAAAAAAATAAATAATTTTTTGTTTATATATTTTTATGTAAAAAATTTTCACATTTAGGTAGCCTGGGTAACAAAATCTGGACAGAGTGAACTAGCTGAACCAATTGCTATTAGACCAACATCAGAAACTGTAATGTATCCTTCTTACGCCAAGTGGATCCAATCATATCGTGATTTACCACTTCGCATGAACCAATGGTGCAATGTTGTTCGATGGGAATTCAAACATCCACAGCCATTTTTAAGAACCAGAGAATTTTTATGGCAAGAAGGACATACAGCATATGCTAACAAAGAAGAGGCTTGTGAAGAGGTATTTCTATTGTTATTATTGGAATGTGTTGAACATGAACATTTCTTTTATAAAATAATGTATAGTGTTGTGGTTTTATTGACAAAGTTTAATTGTAACAAATTGTATATAATGTTGGCATAACTTCTAATAGTTTAATCTAAAAAACTAAATTTTTATTTTGATTAACCTTAACATTTTTGATGTGTGAGTTTTGATGTGCGCCATTTTCATTAATTGCAATAATAAGTCATGTTTAAAATGGCAATATCAGGAACTGATTTTTAAAATGTTAATTTCAGAATAAAGGCAATGAAATGAGGTTTAGATTATCGTCACACGGATATTAACTAGTATATTATTATATTAGTTATAAAGTATCTGTTTATAAAAAATATTAAGTTATATTACATATGTATAATGTTATATATGGTATATAAATAATATAGTATACTTATTTTAAAAAAAAAAAAAGCAATAAATTTTGTTCCAAGTTTGTTATTGTATAAATATTTTTAAGTTACCATTGTTAATACCAAGTTCACTTTATGTTTTTAAAATTAAAAACATGTTTTTAACTTTAGGTGCTTGAAATTCTTGGCTATTATGAACAAGTCTATACTGAACTTCTTGCTATACCAGTTGTAAAAGGTAGAAAAACAGAAAAGGAGAAATTTGCCGGCGGTGATTTTACTACAACATGTGAAGCATTTATTTCAGCTAGTGGTCGTGCTATTCAAGGTGCAACTTCACACCATCTTGGACAAAACTTCTCTAAGATGTTTAACATTGTAATTGAAGACCCTAAAAATCCTGAATCTAAAGAGAAATTATTTATTTATCAAAATTCATGGGGACTTACAACTCGCTCAATCGGTGTTATGGTTATGGTCCATGGTGACAATAAAGGGCTTGTTTTGCCACCACGAGTAGCAAACATTCAGGTTTGTGATTTTTTTAGTTAAATTTTTCATTTACTATATTTCAGTTAATGGGTGCCTAGTTACAACCAGTTTATATGTATGCATATATTGTGACGTTAGAATAATTTTTAAAATTGCTTGTTTACATTAATTGTTTATTCCAACTTTATTAAATATGATTAAAATTGACAATAAAATAACAAAAACTGACAATTTTTAAAATTATATAAATAATTAAAGTTATATAATTATATAATTATAAACACAAAAGTAATATTACAACTAAAAACAGAAAATTAAATTTTTACAATGAAAATTTGGAGAACCTTACAATTCTCATCTACCGATATGCTATTTTGCCTTATACCATTTTATATTACTTAATGAATAATAAATAATGGGTATTCTAAGCAATCAATTGATATTTTGATCCTTTAACGAATTTAACAAATTTTTAGTTTTGAAAATTTAAGATAGTTTAACAAATTTTGTTAAATTTTCTCAACAGTACAAAAGAGAGATAGAACCCTATCATTCTAACGTCACAATATATATATATATATATATATATATATATATATATATATATATATATATATATATATATATATATATATATGTATATATATGTATGTATATATATGTATATATATATATATATGTATATATACATATATATACATATATATACATATATATACATATATATATATATATATATATATATATATACACACGCACGCACACACAAATATCTTTATCACAAAAAAAACTGTTTTAGTAGTTTTAGACTTTTTAATTAAGAATATTTTATTTGCAATATGATATAGACAATGTCTATCATGTTTCTTTTTGTGTTAGTATTGTGTTAATTAAAAATTTGGTTAGTTCTGGGTTTTCTGAACAGTATAAATTTTAGTCTTAATTAGGGATGTTCCAGAATTTTATTTTTTTATTTTAAGACCATTCCGGTTCCAGCCGAAATTACAGTAATTTAGGCCAGAATGCAGGAATTTATTTTTTAAGGCATGACTCAGGCTGTGTAAATTAAATTAAAAAAGCATTGCTCTTTAGGGCAATGAAAAACTATTGGTAAAAAATACAAATTTCTAAACAAACTCAATGTAATTTTGTTTGCAGTAATCAGTTATGTATGAGTTTCTGTTTAAAAATATTGTTGTGCAAAAATAAGATTTGCTCTTTTCATTTTTCATCATAAACGTTAACTGCCTCCTCAAATAGTCTCTCTGAATAAACAGATGAAGCAGGGGCAAATAAAAGTTTTATAGCTATACAGTATATAGGAGGATCCTTTTTATTGCTCTACCATTTTGAAACTGCTTCTTTATTTTCTAATTTACCAATTCTTTTCCAGCATTGAAACTTAACTAGTTCTCTTTCTTTGCTTTTTTTCAATTAGGGTTACTCTTTCTCTCTGCTTCTGACCTTTAGCAAATAAGAGAACTTTTGTGATGATAATTTTGGGATTATAATAAACTTGATATAAAGCTGATGTAGATGGCTGAAAAAACTTTATTAGTTGGTAAGGAATTAGTACTATTGGAGGATGATGAATCTATTTCATATTAACCTCTTTTCCTTTATCTCTAACTAAAGCTTTTAGTCAAATATTTTGCTCTTTAGATTTACCTTAGATCAACAGCAGAGGACAAAAACTTTACTATGTAGTACATCAAAGTAACTTTTTAATGGAACATTACTCATGAATCTTTTTCCAAAAGACTCTCTTATCATCTTCATTGATTGGGTTCTAGATTCATCTGCAAAGCTTGCAGGAAAACTATGCAATGCACGAATATGGCTAATTACTGATGACAATATTGATTTTGATTTACTGACTATCAGTAATCATAAAAATGGTTTTTAAAGTCCCAATACATTTTCAATTAACTCTTATTAAGTTGAACTTAATATTTAATATAATAAATGAGGATACCCATTTAATAATTGATAAATCATAATACCAATCCAAGATGAAAGCACTTTTGTGAAGCTACTGTGACCCCAAGAAAAGCCATGATGCTGAGGTGCAAGCTTTCATTTTAATCTTAAAGATAAAAATTAACATAAATAAAATTCTTGATCTAACTGGAATTTTATTCACGATTCCAGTAAATCCAGTTTCTGTCGGAATTTAAAATTAACATTCCAGTACACCCCTAGTCTTAATTTCTAGTCTGGATTTAATTTGGTTGACAAACACAATGGCAGTGAATATTTAAATGTTTGGAATTATTAGTTTTAAAACACAATTTAAAAATCTTATTAAGTGATGTTTGCACATCTCTAGAAGATCCAATTTTAGTTCACATCTAAGAGGCTGATGATTTGTTGAGTTAACTATTTGACTATTAAAAAGTTACGGTTGTAAGGCTCTGGTGTTTTCTCTTTGATATTTGTTATCATTTTGAAAAAAAATCGATTAAAGAAAACTTTTGAGGGACTTTCGAAGAATGGAAATAAATAAAAAAATCAATTAGAATGACTTTCGAAGAATGGAAGAAGCTCCTTCATAGTATTTGTATTTGTACGTTAACTTGTTACATCCGCGCCCAACATGCATTACTTTGCATTTCTCAAAATTAAAATGCAAGAGCCAAATGTGTGACCCTTCCACTGCTCTGTCAACGTCATCTTGGAGAGTGATGCTGTCCAACTCCTTTTTAATTATCCCTATTATTTTGCTGTCGTCGGCAAACAGTTTCATATGATGAGTAATTCTGTCCGGCAGGTCATTTACAAAGATTACGAATAGCAATTGGCCCAAGACCGAGCCTTGAGGCACTCCACTAGTGACTGCTTTCCATTCAAAAGTAATGCTGTTTATAACCACTCGTTGACATCGATTGTTTAGCCAAGCTGCAATCCAATCAACGAGAGCGCCTTGAATACCGTACGCTTTCAGCTTATGAAGGAGGCGTTTATGTGGTACTTTGTCGAACGCAAAGTCTGTGTAAATGGCGTCTACTGCGTGTCTGCAGTGAGTTGCTTCCGTCATGATGTCCCGAGTTTCTAAAAGATTTGATACGCATCCTTTACAATGAACAAAGCCATGCTGGTTTGGAGAAATTAGTCCATTATACTAAGTAGCTGACCATAACAAACTTATTTTTTTGGCTGTGTTTAAAATTTGAATCATTTTTTCAACCAACAAAAAGTGTCAGAGCTTTGTCACTTTTTTGTGTTTTACTACTTTACTGTGCGTTTTTTTAAATAACATTTAAAGTTCAAAATTTGAGGGATCTACTACTAGAAAATATTAATACAAATTTAATACAAATATTAAAAAATATATGAATTTGTAATGAAATGAATAAATATTAAATATTTTTTCTCAACATATTTTGATCAGTTATTATATTTAGATCATATCAGTATTTATATTTCAATTCATAGATATTTTAAGTTTCTTGAAATTTTTTATCTTTTTAGAAAATCTTTTTAAAAGTAAAATAAATTTCAATTTTTTCTGTACTAAACATAATGTTTATGTTTTTAGGTTATTATTGTACCTGTGGGTGTTACTGCTAGTACTACTGCTGAAAAACGTCAAGAAATATATGACTACTGTAATAACTATGAAGCAATTTTGAAAAAAGCTGGTATTCGAGTAAAATTGGATGCTAGAGACAACTATTCTCCTGGCTGGAAGTTTAACCACTGGGAGCTGAAGGTATTTTAAAGAATTCAATTTAATATATATATATATATATATATATATATATATATATATATATATATATATATATATATATATATATATATATATATATCACGGTCATTTACAAGCATTAAGTTTAGGTGCGCGTGTGCCAGAAGTTAATAGAAATTTTCGAGTTTTTAAAATGGCTGCGGTTCTTAGCTACATAATCCTTTTTATATAGCAACTGTTATTTTTAGTTTATTTTTGCAAAAATTAATATTGCAACCATATTACTGATCTAAATCAATAAATAAATGCCTTTTTTGTATTAGTAAATAAATAAATACGCTGACCAATTATTTTAAAGTTTTAATTTGTATTTTGGCTAAAACTTTTATTTGTAACATTGAGTGGTTTGTTTATTTTTTAAAAATAAATTTTGAAAATTTACAACTGTACAAATTTAAAAAAAAAATTTCTTTGTTATTATTATTACTTTCTTTATACTTTGACCTTCTTTTGGTCGTTGCTTAAATTTAATTTTTCTGTAAAAATGTATTTTAACACGTTAAGCTTGTTAAGAGCTTAGTTTTTTCTTGAATTTTGTTCTGGTGCATTTTTATCAATTATGTTATAAAATTAGGGATATAAAAATGTAATTAAATTAAAACAAATATATATATATATATATATATATATATATATATATATATATATATATATATATATATATATATATATATATATATATATATATATATATATATATAAACATATATATATTGTAAACATAGTTGGACCTGTTCTGGCAGCCAATCTCCAACCTTTGTCACATCGTCGTAATGTTGCTTCTCTTTCTCTTTTCTACAAATACTATAATGGGCACTGCTCTAAAGAGCTAGCGTCCCTTGTGCCATCTACTAAAATTCATTCTCGTGTTACTCGCCATTCAATTAAGTCTCATCCTTTTTCTGTGACTGTTCCTAAGTGCTTCAAAAACTCTTATTCTTCTAGTTTTTTTCCTCGAACATCAGTTCTTTGGAATTCGCTTCCTTCATCTTGCTTTCCTGATTCATATAATTTGCAATCTTTTAAGTCATCAGTCAATCGTTATCTTGCTCTACAGATTTAGTCTTTTCTCTTCCAGTAACTTCCAACTCTTATAGTGGTTGCTTGCAGCCTTGTTGGAAGTGAAGATGTTAAAAAAAAAAAATATATATATATATATATATATATATATATATATATATATATATAATATATATATTATGTTTGTGTATTCTACAAATAGAATGCTCAATGTTCTTAAAGAACAGAGCAATAATAAATTAGTAAAAACATTTATCTAATTTTTATTTTCTTCCATAGTTTGTTTCTCCATCATAGGATTGTCAGGAAGTCTGATGATCCTACTGATAGCAAAACAAGCTGTAGAAGAAAATAAAAATTAGATAAGTGTTTTTAATAATTTATATATATATATATATATATATATATATATATATATATATATATATATATATATATATATATATATATATATATATATATATATATATATATATATATATATATATATATATATATATATATAAATAGAGAGAGAGCAATGTGCAATGCAATGTGCAATATTACATAAACAGTTTACATAAGGTTACATAAGTTTTGTAAAATTTTAATTAAAGAGCTAAAAATATTATTAGCTCTTTAATTAAACTATTAATGTTATACAAATAATGAGTTTAACTTTTGTGCATGTCTTTTTTATCTTAAATACAGAAAAATATTGAATTAACAAAAACTTTTGATCCTGTTTGTTTTTAATGTTTTAAAATTAAACCTAGGGAATTGATTTTTGTAGTTATAAAGCTGCTCAAGTAATGACACTTTTTTTGCTTTTTTTTTTTTTATTTTTTTTTATTTTTTTTTATTTTAATATCTCTCTCCCCAAAACAGTTTTGTGATATTTTTATGAACCTTTCCCCCCCCCCTCGCCCCAGCCTCCTATTTCTTGTGATGTGACATTTGTAGACAAAATATATCTGAGTTTTTGCTAAAAATTTACTAATTAATAAGGAATTAAATTGAACTAAAATTCAATATCAATTATAACACAAAAAAATAGCTACTTGTATAGCCCTAGATGTACACATTATGAAGGCCTTAACAATTTGTACATTGTTAAGGCCTTCATAATGTGTACGTCTAGGGCTATACAAGTATAAGGCGGATACAAAGGATTAAGAAGTTAAACTTTCAAAGTACCTAAAGAAACGTTGGATGTCATAAAATTACCATGCAATAGGAAACGGGGGTGCAAAACCAGTGGTTTTGCTGTGTATGTATAAATTATGGACACCCATAAGTAGAAGTTGTATTAGTGGCGGATTTAGTATAGTACTCCTTAGTAAGTACCTTGGAGAACAAGTAAGAAATGTATAATCCTATACCTCCCTAAAAGTACCTATGTTTTTAACCTACCAACCAATCATTTTATAATATTTATTTTAATTTAGTGTCTCCAAACTTTTATAATTGATCTACTCCCCCCTCTCTCTCACCCCCCCCCCCCCATTTTTACATTTGCAGATCTCTTTTCCTCTCCGAGCGTTCGTATTTTATGGACGATTCCTTAACTACTTTTTAAGTGCTACGAAATAAAAAATTTTAAATGTTCAAAATAACAAAGTTTGCAATTAAATAAGATTTCAAATTTCTTTCCCCAGGGTTTTTAATAACTGGTGTAAGATTTACAACCCTAAAATTAAAGGCACAAGATTTGTTTAAAAATTAATAAATAACAAGCAATAAGTTTATGACTGTTAGGGAGCTACTCATCAAATCAAGAAAGTGAACTATAGACTAATCATAGATGAGTTTTTTCCAGAAAATTCCCGGAATTCCGGAAATTCACTTAAAACACCTTTAATTTTTCCAGAAATTTCCGGATGTTTTTTGATATTGATTTGAAAAAAAATTAATATACTTTTACATAAAATTTTGCATACAACAACTTTTGCATTTAAACAAATATGTTTTCTATAATTAAAATTTTTACAAGATCCATTTTTGTAACAATTTTTTTTCTTTTTTTTTTTTTTTTGCTTTTTAATTCATTCAAACTTTTTCGAATATTAGAAATTCCTTTTTGTAAAAAGTTAAATAATCTAAATTCTGTTTTAAAATAATCTAAATTCGGTTTGTCAGTTAAATGCGATCACTTTTTAATAAAATAATTTTCCGGGATTATCATAGAAAAAAAATTTCCGGGATTTTCATAAAGTCAAATACTCATCTGTGACTAATCAATTCTTTAAAATATTTGGAAATAAGGCCAAGATAAATCTAATTATTTAATAAATAGGGGTGGGTAAGGAGAAAAAAAGAATTATCTGGTAATATCAAATGCAACCAACAAAGAAAAAATGTATTTAGGAATTTTCATTTATTTTGCAGTATTTTGCTTCAGTGTTTTTTTTATTTGTGATAATATTTTAATCTCTTACATAAATATTTTTACATTATTTAAACTTTATTTTTTAAAAATTTATAGTTGCAATATGTTCTTTTTCTCAAGGTTGGTTTAGGCTTTTTGTTTATAGGGTTAGTTTTTGATTGTGTGATATAAGAAAACTTTTTTCTTTAAACTCGTAATAAATGAATTCGCCTCCTTGTTTGTAGTACCCAAACCTATTTCTTTATCCAAAACCCTATTTTTTTATAAATCGAATAACACGATCTTCTAACATGTGTAACTTTGATAATAATGATCCATATGACCAATTAGCACAATAAAAATGTATTAAATCAGCAATATACTTTTCCAAAGATAAATATATAGTAATAGTAAAAACAAATCTCTTTTATCTAATATAAAGTTCATTTCTCAAACATACTACAAACACTTTAATATATATATTAATATAATACTATACCCATTGCTTATCAACCAATAGTTTTTTAAAAATATCTTATCAAAACATTTAAAATAATATACTTTCAAGAATATTGTTCTAAAGATTAATATCCTTTACCTTCTATCCAAAATCAATAAATTGTGTGCTCTTGTTCATCTATTAAATTGTCTGTTTGTTTGGAATCAGGCACAAGTTAACCTACCTCTCTCAATCTGTTATTTCTTTACTGCTATAGAAAGTTCTTGTTATTATCTTCCGTTATTTAGTAACCTTAAATTATATAACCTCAATCATCATTTAGTTATGTATGGCAATAATTAACAAACCAATGCATAAAATCATGGAATAGATTACCTCTTCACTTTATATCTCTAAACCTTATTACTAAAACCGATTTTTATGCCTATTTTTTGGAAAGATACTGTTTGTAAAATGTTAAGCTCATTGTGGGTTATTATTATTATTACTTTTGGTGTTATTTTATGTATAAAAATATTATTTTATGTAATAGTAATATTATTTTATGTAATAAAAATATTATTTTGTGTAATAAAAATATTATTTTATGTAATAGTAATATTATAACATTATTTTACTTTTATTCATATATTATTACTTATTGTTATTGTTTAATATTCTGTTTCAATACTTATCAAAATTATTATTACTATTATTATTGTTATTATTATAATATGGATTTTTTTTTTTTTTTTTGGTAACTCACCTCTCTAAGGTCAAGAAGACCACTTCAGATGAGGAGGCTACTTGTGGTTATTACCCTCTCTCTATTATTAATATAATATTATATTTATTAATATAAATAGTATTGTTAACATTGCTGATATTGTTATTGGCCTCGTTATAATTGTTTTAATAATGTTATACAATTTATTTTTGCTTTAGATTAGTACTAGTACTATTTCTTAATATCCATAAAATATAATAACCTTTTTTCATAATATATTTTGTTATTATATATTTATATATATATATATTAGGGCATCCAATACCGGACCAAAAATCGAATACCAGTTTTTCGGTATTAGATTAAGTGAAAACCGAAATACCGGTATTAAAACCGGTATTTACTATTACTAAAAAAACATTTAATAA